CACTTCCCGACGCCGATTGAACGGCGTCTCTCCAGTTCCCAAATTCCTACGCGGCCAGAGGGACCGGAAGATGTCTAGCTCATCTTCCGCTAGCTCTCCGGGCCGGTGCCAGAAATGCAAAGTGGTAGTGTCCTCTAGTGGCAACTAACGTGACTCGCGCGTTTCCTCGCCTCAGACCCCCGGCCACATACCACCGGAGCAGACGAGCGTATCCGTTCCTTACAGCTAACCACAAATCCCGACGAGTCCATACCCAAGTCCGGGTCCGTCACAGACGCCTGTGAAGGCGTATGACTGACGGAGGACTTGGCCCAGACGCCCGCCGTAACCTGGTCTTGCCGTCGAGCCTGTAGTCTCTCCGGAAAGCCGAATCTCTCGGGTCGGTAGATTTTAACCTGTGTCCAACTGTGGGAAATATAATGAGTTGATGATGATAATGTAATCTTGTAAGATTGAAACCCTTATAAACCATTAAGGATATTGGACTATTGTTTCTTTTGCTTTTGGTATCACTTTGTTTCATTCAGCTACTTCCAGTGCTCTATTCGAAAATTGGAAAGCCTCCTGGCCGTTTCATTTGGCCTCAGAGTGATGCTACAAGGGCATTGCCTGTGCATTGCGTTGTTGCCACGCTATGATTTCAACGCACCGAGCGCCATACGGGCAATGTGATGTCGCAACGTAACGTCGCTTACGTCTCCTGGCTTTTTTTTTATGAACGATATTTTGCAGTTGGCCGCTGATGGCCTTGACTGTGCCACCGGAAAAAAGGGAGAGCTGAAGGCTCATAACCCCAAAAATAAACTTAAAAGTAAGTAGCGGGCCTGAGGGTGCCCAAATAGGCATGGACCTCGGCTCAGGGCGCTACTGGAGGACGTGCTATAGTAGAGAATATACCAGTGTAAGTGCTGAATTGAGGGCTCTACGACCTCGCCGGCGAGAACGGTTGGTGCGTGTTTAGATAGACTGATTTGAGATCTGGTTGGCTTTCAAAGTGGCGAGAGTGATAGGGTCGTCAGGGTCGTTGAGCACTTCCCTTGGCCGACGGGTCCTACGTACGAGGTGGAGGTGTTCCCTGAGTGGGTCGTAATTGGATGCAGCCACCACGAGGGGGTTGGGGTGGTGAGGAGCAGAGTCGAAGTATTTCCTCGATGCCTGTTTCATCAATTGGGCTATTCGTCTCTTGGCCCCCAGCGCGTGCCGTTTCAACACACTTTATGAGATGTAGTTCTAATTTACGTGGACCAACGCAGCGTCCCCGTTCAATCGTTTCAAAATTAATTCACTCGCAAACATTTCGGCTAGTAAGATGCTACTTATGCCAAACAATGTGCGATCAAAACTGAAAACGTTAATCTTCTACTTTTAAATCTTTCACCATTTTATATTTAGATTCAGATTCAGATTCATTTATTTCTCACGTATAACATTACAGTATAAATTGCACTACATGTCAAAGTATAAGAAATTATATTGAGATCGTCAGACAAAAATGAAAATTCTAAGAAAAATACACAATAAATACAAAATTAACAATTCTTTATATAATATTGTTGTCATTAAATCTAGGGTCGGCGGACTAAAGCACATAAGTGAAAAATCCAACATCATTCATTTAAATTAATACATCTACCGGCTAAAGCACATAAGTCAAATTCATTTGTTACTCCATAAATTTGGAACTTTATTCCAGGTGTCTTTTTCAAATTTATAATTCTCTTTGCACCTTCTAACACTATAAACAATGCGAAAAAATATATAATTATATATTAGCAAATGAAGCACTTTTTTGACTTATATGCTTTAGTCCGCCAAGCCTAGAAATTACATATCAAATATCATTCTCTATCAAGGATCGTCATAAGTTGATAACAGTTAATGAAGTATATGTTAATGCGGTAAAAATTAGAATAAAAATAGAAAATACTCAATTCGTTACAATTTTAAGTCCATAAATTCATTTACAGAGTATAAAGGATTTTTCAAGAAAAGGTCTTTCAGCCGGCGCCTAAATATTTCGTCAGACGGTTCAAGTCTAAGAGTAGCGGGTAAACGCTCATAGTAAGTAGGTCCGATGACACGCGGGTTTTTCTCTGCAAGTGCCATGCGTCAGAGGACTCTTCTCAAATGACCGGTACGGCGAAGTGGGATGCCAGAAACATTTACAGTACCAAATGAAGAAAGATTGTTTCTAACGTACATTATAATTTCGTATATGTAGAGTGAGTAGTGCGTCATTATGCGTTGCGCTACAAAGTGATTTCTGCAGGAATGTCTGTGTTTTACCCCAACCAATAAGCGTACGGCACGTTTTTGCATTAGAATGACTCTTGGCATCCGTGGAATTACCTCATATGAGTGAACCGTACGACACCAGCATTGACTTACAATTATATGGACGTCGGGTCCGCGCTAAAAAGTGTCCGAACTTATAGGGCGTTAAAATCGTATACAGAGCGTCATTCACGCTTTAGTCTTCGTTTGTTCGACTGACAGCGAAGCAAGCAAAATTAGACAGTATTGCGATGACGTTACAATTTAAATTCAATGTTTTAGCTTTTTCATATTCCTTTACATGTCACTACGTTTAAATAGGTTGACTTGGGACATTTTTTTCGTGGTTTTTGTATTAGACCCGTCGTCCATTTATTTGTAAGTCAATGGACATCAGCTAGTGAAAATGTGCAAAATAGACCTGTCTCAATGCAGAATCGGAAATAAGCAATTTCAGTTTACGCAACGCAAAAACTGCACCACTCAGTTTATCACACAGTCTGTCAACATGGCACTTCCAGTTAAGGTTCGAGTCCAGAGGGAAGCCAAGGAACATACTCTCATTGCATATTGGCATCGGATTGCTTGCTACACGCGGAGGAACTGTGAGACCTCGATCTGAGAAAACCATGATGTTGGATTTAGTGATATTCAGCAGCAACCCACTCGATGAAAACCACCTCTGGAGCTGCTTACACCCTTCATCGCTTCTCTCTCCCAGCTGTTCGTACGTGCGCGCGCTAACCATGACTGTTGTGTCATCTGCAAACAGTACGGAGAGGCCGGTTGTGATGGCAGTGGGATGGTCATTTATATATAATAGAAATAGCGTGTTTCCTAAGGCAGACCCTTGAGGAATTCCTAAGTTCACACTACCAGCAACGGACTCCAGTCTTTAACCGTTCGAGGACAATTTTACCACTTGCTTCCGATCCGATAAGAACGAGGTGAGAAGTTTGTGGCTCTTACCCTGTATTCCATAATGATATAACTTATCCAACAACAGTTCATGATTAATCACATCAAAGGCCTTGAACAAGTCACAAAATATGCCTGCCATTTTATACTTCTCATCCAGACCGGAAATTAAGCAGTCAAATATTTTATGTGTCGCGGTAATTGTAGACATCTTCTGCCGATATGCAAATTGCTTATCATTCAGCAATTCATTATCCTCAAGGTGGCCCATCATGTGGGAAGATAGGATAGATTCCAGAATTTTATATATAGTAGGAACAATCGTTACTGGTCTGTAATTATTCACATCACACTTGTCACCCCTCCCCTTGAAGACAGGACATACCCTGGTACTCTTAAGCACTTCTGGGTACACACCGGTGCCAATGATAATATTAAATAAGACTATTAAAATGTCTGAGATAAATGGCCACATGTATAACATTATATTTAGTGATATGTCATATTGGTCAACAGTTGAACGGGTCTTTAACGTCGACTGTACCGCTTTATCTATAAGGCCCCGTGTGATGGTCGGTGGAGAGAAAGTTGGCACATCTGTATTGTGCAGATGTTTGCAGATGTATTGCCTACATATAGACAGATCGCTTTCAATTATATATATCTGGGAGCTACATTTAGAAAGTGTGAATTAATTGTGTCTGGAACCGTATTTATTGGTATATCAATTTGAGACGATAAATCTTTGAGGCTGATGTTTGATGATCTGATTTTTATGCCTATTTCGTCATTAACTACATTCCATATTTCCTTGGATGGATTTTTGCTATCTACGAACCTCTTTTCAACGTAGGTTTGCCGGGTACGCAACGTCTCAGATTTAATAAGATTGTAATATATTACTGGGTTGTTTGGATACTGACGCCTGATCTCATGTAAATCTTTTTAGTACATTAGATTCTTCATTTAATGTCATATTAATACTAAATATTATCATGTGTACATACATACTATGTACTTAGATAATAGAACACTAGAATTTTGAAGAACTTGTTTTTCAATTGATCAAATGATTTCAATACAAGTCAAGTGGTAAGAGTTTGTCAACGAAAAAACTGGAGGATTTTTTTTACTTAATTACGCTTTTGTTTGAAAGTATTTCAAATAATTGCAAACATTATTAGTTTCTTAGTTTTCAAAATAAAAAAAAATAAATCTTTTTCATGAAAAAAATGAACCAACTTCAAAAGTTGTGACATTACATCTATTTATCAAGATTTATTGAAAACGGAAAACCGAAAGTGGTTCAAATCCAATAAACCTGATTTAACCCCTCATTTGCCACCCTTAGAGGTGGAATATTTTCCTCAAATTTAAATGGGACCAATATACCCTATTTCCCACAAACAAAGAATCGTCAAAATCGGTAAACAAATTCACTAGTATTCGCGTCACATACCTATACACAAAAATAAAACAGTGGAATTGAGAATTTAGGAGCCTGTTGTGTTGCTGCTGGTAGGCAAATAAAACGCTGGTTGTTCAGGTGTCGAAGGCTATTGCTGTGGCTTGCTAGCTTGGTGTGGCTTGGTGTAGCTCGACATTTAATCAACGAATGTTACTACTTATATACTTTTGTATATCTTAGAAATAGTACAAGTCTAATTGAGTAAGTAGTACATAGAGATGTTACGGCGCGGCTGCGCGCGAAGGCATAAATAGGACCCGCCGCGCGCTCGCCGTTCAGTGCACGCCGACGCGTTGAGCGCGGCGGAGGCGTGGATGACTTGCAGCTACAGGGCTCCCCTCTAAGCGAAGCGTACCGGTGGTCTCACGGCGCGTCCCGACCTTGTTGTGGTTTCTCTGGCGGGACTCTGTGGCGCTTTGGTGATTGCAGGTGCTGTGACAGTGTCGGTCGTACAATCCGCGGGCGTGAAAGCAGGTTTTAGGCGGTCGATTGATACGGTTGCCTGTCGATCTGGTAGTTGCAGCACGAACACCTTGTCCTTTTTTCTCAGTACGCGGTAGGGCCCGTCATATGGTGGTTGCAGTGGTTTTTTGACGGCGTCGACTCTCAGGAACACTTGCTGGCAGTCTCGTAAAGCAGGGTGAACAAATATCGCTCGTTTATTGTTGTGTGGTGGTAATGACGATGATGGTTTGAGCGCGTTGATGGATTCTTTTATTTTTGTGACGTAATTGTGATCCATAGTGACGTCACATGGCGATTCGACGAAAAAATCGCCAGGCAGTCGCAGGTTGCGGCCGAAGGTCAGCTGTGCAGCGCTTACGCCGGTATCGCTGCGCACGGCGGCGCGCAGGCCAAGTAGTACAGTCGGTAGCACGTCTATCCAGTGTGATGTTGATTGTAGGCGTGCGGTGAGCGCTGTCTTCATAGTGCGGTGCCATCGTTCTACCAAACCATTGCTCTGTGGGTGGTATGGTGTAGTGCGTATTTTTTCTATGCCGGCTAGCCTTGTTAGTGCAATAAATAGTTTGCTTTCAAATTGCCTCCCTTGGTCTGACGTTATTTTCGCTGGGCAGCCGTAACGTGAGATGACAGTTTCATTTGAAACAGAGACTTCAGACAATTGAAGAGATGACAGCTGAAACGGTAGCTTTGGCTACCGTTTCAGCTGTCATCTCTTCCGATGGTATAGCTTCAGGCCATCTCGTTGTGCGGTCGACCATAGTGATAAGGTAGCGGTGACCGTGCGGGGATGTTGGGAGTGGTCCGACGATGTCGATGTGCACGTGAGAGAATCGATCGTGTGATGGCGGGAATGGTGCAACTTCGCTGGCTGTGTGCCGTTGAATTTTTGCACGTTGGCAAGCGACGCAGGTTTTCGTCCACTTGCCGATGTCCGCGTTGAGTGAAGGCCAAAAGAATCTTTCCTTCATGAGCTTGCGGGTGGTTCGAGTACCGGGGTGAGAAAGTCCGTGTACCGCGTTAAATGCAGAATACCGGAGATCTGGTGGTACGTACGGGCGTGCGTTAGGTGTCGAACATCCTGTGAGGATAAGCTTCGGCGATGATGGTAGTGGCATTAGCTTAAAGCGTAGGTTTTGATTCGACAGTAGCGTAGGTATATCGCTGTCCTTTTCTTGCGCATGGGCGAGTTGCTCGTAGTCAAACGTGGAAGGGGCAGTGATTGCATCGATTCTTGACAGGGCATCAGCCACTACGTTATCGTTGCCACTGATGCTCCTTATGTCCGATGTGAATTCACTAATGAACAGGATTTGGCGCGTGCGTCTTGGTGTTTCATTGTTGTGATTGACCTGTGTGAACATGTAGGTTAACGGCTTGTGGTCTGTGTAGATTATCAGATGTCGTCCCTCGAATGTTTTGCGGAAATACTTAACCGCCCTATATATGGCTAAAAGCTCTCGGTCGTAGGTACTGTACTTCGTTTGTGCGTCGGAAAATTTCTTTGAAAAATAGCCAAGTGCCCTTGACGTATTGTTGTAGTACGGCGCCTGCACTGTAGTTCGATGCGTCACACATGAGTGCGAGTGGGACGGCGTGATGCGGGTGAGCGAGAAGTGCTGCTTCTTGAATACTTTGTTTACATTTTTCGAATGCTTCCGAGGCTTCTGTATTCCATTGTAGTGGAGTTTTATCCTTCTTCTTCGAGTGATGTAAATATAAGTTGAGTGGAGCTTGTAGTGTTGCGGCGTTTGGAATATTTTCTCGGTAATAATTCACCATGCCGAGAAAACGTCGGAGCTCTTCTACAGTGGTCGGTTTTGGATATTGTACTATGGCAGCTATTTTTTCTTCCGGCGGTTTAATTCCTTGTTCATTCACTAGGTAGCCTAAGAACTTCACTTCTGGCTGGCCGAAGACACATTTGGAAGGGTTTATGGTAATACCGTATTCTTGAAATTGCTGCAGCACTGCTCGTAGATGCTGCCGGTGTTGTTCTTCGTTTTCAGAAGCGATGAGAACATCGTCGACGAATGGGAAAGTAAAATCGAGTCCTCGTAGTACTTGATGAATGAACCGTTGAAATGTTTGTCCTGCGTTGCGGAGGCCGGGGCACATGCGGGGAAACTCGAAGAGACCGAACGGTGTGATGATTGCAGTCTTCTCAATGTCTGATTTGGCCACTGGAATTTGTTGGTAGGCACGGTTGAGATCCAGCGTAGAAAATATTTTTTTTGCGCTGAGTAGATGTGTGAAGTCGCGTAGTCGTGGTATGGGATAGCGGTCAGGCTTAGTTACCGTGTTGAGTTTACGGTAATCGCCACAAACTCGTATATCACCATTTTTCTTTGCAACGACGTGTAGAGGGCTTGCCCATGGGCTCTTGCTTGGCTGGCACAATCCTTGTTGCATCATGCTCTCGAACTCTTTCCTAGCCGAGGCGTAGCGGTGCGGTGGTAGTGGTCGTGCACGAGCATATAGCGGTGCTCCGGTCGTCTCGATGTAGTGTTCAACGGTGTGATTTGGGTTCAACTGCATTGATGACAATCTCGTACCGGGGAATTCGGCTAATATGTCGTGGAAGGCTTGCCGATGGTCGATGCTCCTTATTGTAGGCATGTTGGTGAGGCGTGAGGGTACGTTGACGGCTAAAGTGGTCACGCTGTCAATTAGGCGTCTCCTTTTCAAGTCCACGATGAGATTGTGGTACTGTAGGAAATCGGCTCCAATGATTGGTTTGTTTACTGCGGCGACGATAAATTTCCACTTGTATGGTCTTCTCAAACTGAGGTCTAACTCGAGCGTCTTCTCTCCATATGTGGGAATCTCGGTGTTGTTGGCGGCAAACAGCTTGAATGGCAGTGATTGTGCATGGGATCCTTTTGTTTTTGGTATGACGGATATGTTTGCACCCGTGTCAACCAAAAATGTGAGCCCTGTTTTCTTATCAGTGACGAATAGGCGGTAGGATTTGCTTAATACGCTGGATTCCGCCGCAGCCAACGTATTGTTTAGTTTTCCGACTTCATGTTATCACTGGAGAATGTGCACGGCAGTGTACATCTTCGCGCTTCACTTCCGAAACGTCTGTGATAATAGCATACTGCGAGTGATAGCGCTGCTCTGCGGCCGCGTGAGTTGGAGCGAGACGGTGAGCCATGCCTGTCGCGCGAGCGGCGTCGGCAAAACCGGTCGTAGTGCGGCTGTCGCTCGTTGCCTGCGCGGTTGCGTTGCGACGATTTTAACTCGGCGATTTCTAGTGATAGTTTCCGAATTTCTTCTACTAGGAATTGAGAATCGGCGTATTGATGTGGAGCGGGCGCTGCTGATGATGTGGGTGGCGGTGCTGCGGATACGGCAGAGATCTCGTGGCTTTGTTCTAGCATTTTATCTGCGAGTAATGCTAATTCGTCCAGCGCAGCGGTCTTGCTGATGGTGTCGCTGACGACGAGAACGGAACGGACGTGCGGTGGGAGATGGTTCATCCACATTAGCCTTAATGTGGAGTCAGGAACTTTATCGCGTGCCAGGTTACGCATACGACGGAGTAGTTGGGTAGGCTTTTGGTCACCTAGTTCCATCTCTTGAAGTAGCTTTTGAAATTGACGTCCCTCACTTTCTTCATACACGGAGATAAGCCGTTCCTTCAGAACAGTATACTGACTTTCGGATGGTGGGTTGTACAGTAAGTCAGATATTTGCTCGACGTCCATTTTGTCGAGTTGCGCGATGACCATCTGCGATAACTGCGCTTGACTTTTCTTAAGGTCGTGTGTCGCTGCTTCGAAACTGATGAACCACAGTCTGGGGCGGTCGCGCCAAAACGGCGGCACCCTGAGAGATAAGGAAATTCCTCCAACTTCCTGCGGTGGCACGTTCTCGGGCGGCGGTGTGTTCTTGCCTACACTCATACTGCTGGTAAGTAGTATCACGTCGGGGTCACCAATTTAGGAGCCTGTTGTGTAGCTGCTGGTAGGCAAATAAAACGCTGGTTGTTCAGGAGTCGAAGGCTATTGCTGTGGCTTGCTAGCTTGGTGTGGCTTGGAGTAGCTCGACATTTAATCAACGAATGTTACTACTTATATACTTTTGTATATCTTAGAAATAGTACAAGTCTAATTGAGTAAGTAGTACATAGAGATGTTACGGCGCGGCTGCGCGCGAAGGCATAAATAGGATCCGCCGCGCGCTCGCCGTTCAGTGCACGCCGACGCGTTGAGCGCGGCGGATGCGTGGATGACTTGCAGCTACAAGAACTTCCTCTTGTTTCAAAGTCGGTAAACAAGATTGTTTTCTCTAATTCTTGTACAATCGTGTGTTTGTAAATGTAGATAGTAATAATTATTAAGATTACAAAACGTTGATTTCTCATTATTTATTGGCTATTATTCTCTTTATGTCATTTTCGTGCAAGTCGCACCCTTTTTTTTTTTTTTTTTTTACGGGGGAAATCTTTATGGATACCCCTAAGCCCAGGGAGACTCAGGGGTTATGTGGGGACTCCCTCTCGCCGGTTGAGTCGGCGCCGTGAGATCAGTGAACATTCACCACGACGCCGCCCGGCCACCCTAGCTTACGCCAGGGCTCCCGCGCCAACGGAGGGGCGAGTCGGTTGTCCTCCGACCCGCTCCCCAGACGAGTGAGGCCGTGCAATGCAGGCTCCGGAGTCCCTGTCCAGAGCCCGCTGGTCTCACTAGGGGATCAGGCGAGCAGCGAACTGCCTTCGCCTTCTCCCCGTACGGCTGCTTCGGTCACTACCTGCACAAGGTGGCGAGGAGGGAACCGTCCCCGTCGTGCCACGAGTGCGGCGCTGCGGATGACACCGCGCAGCACACCCTAGAGGTGTGTAGCCGGTGGGATGAGCAGCGCCGCACTCTGACGGGGACTGTAGGGCAGGACCTCTCGCTGCCGAGCGTGGTTGCCGCCATGCTCGATAGCGAGGAGTCCTCTGGGAGGCGGTGGCCTCCTTTTGCGCAGAGGTTATGTCGCAAAAGGAGGCCGCGGAACGGGTGCGCGAGTCGCACCCTGCCGTGCTAGCCCAACAGGCGAACTAACTAGTGCTGGCATGATTATTTTTTTGTTTTTAATTATTCAATGTCAAGCTAATTTTATAAAAAAACAACTCTTCTCTATTGCTAGATAAAAACTTTGTGGTTTACCCACCTTCTCACCTTCACCACAAGCTCGACACTTAAATTAACTTAATTCACTAGAATTTCAATTAATTCTAAAGTATATGTCTACATTTACATAAGTACTATAGATATTATACTACAAACCGAGATAGTGTCACTTTAAAACAGTTTTGCATTTCTTGACATTATATACTGTTAATAATATCAGAACTATCATATCTGTTATTGCATAAGTCATAAAAGTCATGCACTCCAACAGTTGCCGCAATTAACAACAAATTAAATATAATAAAATTTAAAAATAATTTAATTAATACAATAATCTAATAACAAATTAATTTCGAACATATCTGAAAAACAAACCATTTTGATTCGACCTCAATTCTAATATCAGTCGAGATGAAGTTTTATGCGAAATGAAATGTCATTAGTACACAATCTTCACACATTTCACACGTTACTTGATATCGAACGATATGATAGTTGGGGCCGACTCTAGTTTGTCTATGAAATATAAAAAAAGTACGGTTGCGTGACATACGTGAGAAAAGTTTTTTTTTGCTGCCATTTCGCCGGTATAACATGCGGCTCCTGAACATATCATAGAGAGCTTATAATATGTGTATAGTTGAAGCAGCTTGTAACTGTACGTAATTAGGCATTAAAACACTCGCGTGATGTTTTTATGAAACACACCTCGGCTCGTTTCATAAACCGACATTTGTATTTTAATCCCTTTCATTATGTAACAGTCACATAGACTACTATAGTAATTCATTTAATACTAATATTAGAAGGGTGCAAAATTGTACACAATAGACACTGCTGGATGCATACAATTCACAACAGCGCTTCATGTGCGGACATGCCAGCCCACAGAATAAAGAAGTGGTTAGTTAGCGTCACACGCGTGCCAACTGTAGACATAGTTGTGCTTACTTGAGCTCAAACCACACTCGTGTTTTAATGCCTTTCATTAAGTAACAGTCACGTAAACTACTATAATGGTGGCTAAAAAGTCGCTTGTATAGAAGTTGAATATCTATCTTTTAAGTTATGTCGTACTAATAATTTCAATATAATTTAGTACGACCAATGGGTGGAGTATTTGGAAAAGAGACAGGTAAGTAGCACCCATGTCATAGTAACGTATCTTGAAAGTCTATTTACGTTGATAAACCTACCGTTATCCCTACCTAAGCCTCAATGGATTTGCCTATGTCCCATGATAAAGGTAGAAATAATAGTGGCCGTCGTGAGAGAACCTTACAAATTGATTGGTTGTCAGTTCTGCGACTTATACCGTCTGCCATTGCCACTTCATTTGACATTAACTACTGGTGTCTCATTTATTGTTTCTCATACATGATTTTCGTCGTCCGTAGTAGGAGTGACACACACGGTGATTTTTATGTGTGTAAAGTATGTAAAGGTAACTATTAGCAACTACATCGCGTTTACATCGCTACTGACTGTAAAGTCACAGTGTGTAACGGCTTTAAACTCTATCAATAGTTTGATTTTCAATGAATACATGATATTTTAATATCATGATATAAAAACATCATTATTCTTAGTTGGCATAGCATCTGGCAAGGATTTAATAGACCTCGGTTCGAATCCGGCTCGAAGGAATTTTTTCTAAGTGTTCGATCTTTGTATTAATAATTATTACAAACTAGTAGAGTAATTTCACAAAATATACTTGAATATCAATTCAATAAAAATTTTATGTTTCATCGTGAGGTGGATAGTCCTCAGTTGCTTCAAAAATTCAAATAGCGTGTTCCCGTAAGGTATGTGGTGACGCAGACGCAGATTCGACATTACCGTCAGATCAAAGGAATTTTTCTTTGTGTTCGATATTTGCGTTAATAATTATAAGAGTTTCCTTAAGTGAGACGGAAACATGCTGAGTTGATCACGGTTTCCTTGGCAGCACTTCACACACGCTTTGTATTCTATATATGTATGAATTTACTTCTAAATCTTTGTTATTATTATTATTATTATCTTCATTATCAGTATTATTCTTTTTATAAAATACATGTGTACTGTGTTCATTATTCAAGGGATAAATGGTTTCTATTTTGTTTTTTATTTCTACCTTGTTATTTTTTCCAGAAAAACTTCGAAGGAAAACCACCAATTAAAAATGTAAATATCGAATACTGATAAATCTTTTTAGATTGTAGGCATACTGTGTAAATAGAAAAATAGTTACTTGTTATGCAAGGCTGCAATGTTGTTGTTTGACCAGAGTGCTTGTCTTGAATCGTGAGCGAGGGTTTCAAGGCACGAGATGCAAAACAATTTTGCTGCCGAGCGAAACACACAATTTTTCACCTCACTATTTTCCTCGCTGAAAATAGTAGATGAAAGAAAAACATTTGAACTAAGTTGTTATACTTAATGATTATCACTAGTATTAGGTTTCTTACCACGGTATGACTTCTTTTTATTTTCCCGATATTTCCCGTGACCATAGAGCGTGCAACCGTTCCGAAATATAGGGAAAATAAAAAGAAGTCATACCGTGGTAAGGAACCTGATACTAGTGATAATCATTTTGTTATACTTAATTCAAATGTCAGTCTTAATAAACAAAATTAGTTATAGTTATCAATTTCATCAATAATTGGAATAAAATATACCTACGGACTTAGAATAATAACGCATAGAATGATAGTTTCATATCAAACGAACAGTCACAAGTGAGGCAAAAATCAAATTCATGTAGGCTAGTTTTAGTAGTAGGTTAATTTTCGGTTTTAGTGAATATTTATATAAAAATACAAGTTGAAACGCGTTACTTCCTTGTGGAATGTGATGTATCTATTTTATGTTTGTCTGACGTATTTTTACACTCATTTAACGCACATTTCGTCATTTTTAGCTAAAATTCTTAAGCTGTTCGCGGTGCAAGTTCACCTTGAGCACTGAAGGCCCGCCCGTTCGTGTAGGCCCATTGGGAGCGCTTTAATTTGCCTCACTTAGCGTGTGCGGACTAGGTTTCTATGCGTTATTATTCTAAGCCTACGGATTTATATTACATAAATAATGTACAACAACGATAACACATGTCATTATGTTTTTTTTTCGTCGAAAGAAAAAGTTAGGTGTACCCATGGTGTACCACAGTCTATAGTCAAGTTCGAATTTCAAAAACCCTCACTTTCAAAAACACGCTAGCGTGGAAAAGGTTTTTGAGATTCGAACTTGACGAGCGCTTTTGCGTGAAGATTTCTAATGAGAAAGAAGCCTTTTCAAGCTAGTGAGGTGAAAAAACAAAATATTGAAAAATAAGTGCGCTAATATATATTTTTTATGATACCAAGTGGTGAGACGAACAAGTCGTGCGCCTGATGGTAAGGGACACGCCTGTCCATAGCAATTGCAATGCAATTTAAATCGCAGAGATCTGAAGGACCCTGCTGCAGCGCCCATCACCTAGAGACATAAGTTGGCATGTCCTATGTGCCATTTCACCAGCACCCTTACCCTTCAAAACCGGAAAGCAACAATGTTCATATTACCGCTTAAAAGAAGTGAAAGTGTCGATGAAGTCAACGATGGACCATACACATCTCAATAATGCCAATTCACTCTCACCTTGAAAAGGCCCAAATTATGCCGTTCAGGGAACAATTCCACTCCATAGCCATTCGCTATATAAATGATGAAAAGAAACATTTTGTGCGAATACTTGGAATATCCAGAACATATGGTTGGAACCCCAGCCTATGTGTAGTTCTCCGATGATGAAAAGGGGAATG